GGGTGAGGGAGGTGAGCAGCGCAGGGGAGAGGCCCTGTCAGGGGAGGTCTGGGATAGAGAAATGGTGTCTCATCACATGGTGAACCCTTCCTCCCTGTTTTCTGTCCTGTTGCGTTAGTTGTGAAGTTGTGTTTTGCGGGGGTTCGGGGGGATGTCCAGGTGCCCTGGCACTCTGAGGCCCACTCCAAGCTGGCTGCTGGTGGTCCGGGTCAGGGCCTGGTCCCCCTCCTGGTTTCGCCCGTCTCGGAACAGTGGGGCTGGCTGGAGGGGGACCCTGTCCCTTGCCTGGCGGTGTGTGTGGCCCTTGGCCGTGAGGGGCTGGGTTGTGGCCGGAGCCGGGTCTAGCTCTTCCAGCTTCCTTGGTCTGTGTTATTTTTGGCAAGAACGGCTGCCAGGTTAAGCTAAGGCTTTTGTTTGTTTTAAAAACGGAGGCCTTGGGGCAGTAGATGAATTGGGAACTCTGTATGGGTTTTGAGTGCATCCAGGAGGGGTCACAGTGGAGATGGGTTGCTACGTCCTATGGAGCAGGGACAGTTCCTGTGGATTCGGTTCTGCAGCCTGCTCAGTGAGGGGCCATCTGCGTCTGCACGGGAGGCTGTGGAGAAGGGCAGTCTTGGGAAGCGGACAGTGAGGCCCCAACTTGGTGGGCCTCAGTCCCAAGGCTCAGGCCACCCAGAATCCCCCACACCCACCTAATTTTCTTCCATTTCTCTCCCTTTTCCTTTTTTCCTTTTTTTTAAATTTTTTTTTTGAACTGTGTCTTGCTCTGTCAGGCTGGAGTGCAGTGGCGTAATCTCGGCTCACTGCAACCTCCACCTCCTGGGTTCAAGCGATTCTTCCGCCTCAGCCTCCTGAGTAGCTGGGACCACAGGCGTGTGCCACCATGCCCTGCTAAATTTTTTGTATTTTTAGTAGAGACAGGGTTTCACCATGTTGGCCAGGATGGTCTCGATCTCTTGACCTCGTGATCCACCCTCCTCGGCCTCCCAAAGTGCTGGGAGTACAAGCGTGAGCCACCGCGCCCGGCCACCTTTAAACTTTTACTCATGACTTACAGTTTCTGTGAACACTGATAGTAGAGTCAGCCAGTGGTCCTGGAAGTGCGTTCTGAGCGAGGTGGTTCTCCTCCAATGCCATGGCCCGCAGGGGCCCCCTCTTTCCGATCCCCCTCTGCACAGAGGCCTGCCGGGTGGTTTGTGGGAGCCAACAGAAGTGCAGGCAGGGCTCTTGGAGGTGGCCAGCAGTAGCCGATGTCCTTTCTGAAAGACGGTGGCGTCATTAGTGATGAAAAATCGTGAATGATGGTTTGCTCTGTGCAGTGGATTTTTCCTGGTTGCAAAACCAAATTTTCTTCGTTTTCTTGGAAGAAGCCTCTTCAGAGGAAGAAATTTCAGTGACACTTAGAAAACGCAATTCCCAAGAGTAAGATTTCAACCCCAGTCCCCACTCTCACGCTTTTTTAGCCTGACTTGGTTTCTTAGGCGGTCAGCCAGTTCAGCCACCGTGCTGAGGGGACAGGCTGGTGGGTTTCTGGCAGTGAGTGGGCCTTGCCCAGGGTAGGGTCAGATACCTGGGGGCGTCTGTGGCCAGAGCTCGTCGTGCCAGCAGCCAAGGGCCAGAGGTGCAGGAGACATCTCCACACTGGTCCTTGGGCCGTTTTTTTTTTTTTTTTATCCTAGAGTTTCTATCATACAATTATTTTATTTTTCAAAATAGCCTTGAACAAGTAGCTTTTATATGTGGAAGAACTAAATATGACCTTCATGGTTTTTTAGAAACCCTTTCTGTAAAACTCAATCCCTGTAGAGAGTGGAGGAGACAGGAGAGCAGACTGTGTGTGCCTCCATTGACCCCTAGGCCTTGCGGATCCACGGCTCTCGAGGGTTAGGTCCTGAGCTCAGCCTGGCACCGCAGAGCTTGGCACACCTTCTCAAAGATGCAGAGCCTGGCCAGGTGTGGTGGCTCACGCCTGCAATCCCAGCACTTTGGGAGGCTGAGGCGGGCGGATCACTTGAGGTAAGGAGTTCGAGACTAGCCTGGCCAACATGATGAAACCCCGTCTCTACTAAAAATACAAAAAAT